GGAGCAGGGACCGAGCAACGGGAGCTCACCCCGTCGTGGGGATTCGAACCACCTACCTTCTGATCGGCAAGTCCTAGGCTCAGTGGTTTAACCTACAGCGCCACCCGCACCCCTTCCACATGTAGGTAGGGTTGCCTATTTCAAAAAGTGAAAATCTGGATTGTTGAGCATTTTCCTCTCTCTTTTTCCTGTCTTTTTTGGCGGGAGGGGGGCACAAAGTTGTTGACACAAGTAAGTTTTTGAGCTATATTAAATTCACCAAAATCTACACTGCCAACACAGCACACGTCCGGATTCCCCTGGACATTTAAGCCACTCCTACCCGGACACTATTTCGGATGGCCAATTCCTGGCTATGTCCAGGAAATTCCGGACGTATATTGTATTACTAAATTCAATAACATCAACCATTTCTCATATCGTTTTCAAGTCTCATTGACTCTGTATGTGGCTTCTGGGCATACTCACTCACGACTTTCAAGCGTAAAGTACGCCTGCAGTCATCAAGTATGAAGGGCAAATGAATGCATTTTATTCATCACATTCCACTTTAAAATACAAGCAACAATCAGGCAGAGATCAAACCGCCACCCCATCGCATACTGAAGGCACAGAAAAATATATTTGTTTTAAAAGGTATATATCACTCTTCAACCAAATGGTTCCCAGGGCAGTTTACATCAAAATAAACAATAAAATCAACATAAAACCACAAGTCAAACAAACATAAACACAACAGCAGTTAAAAGCAGCTGATTCTAGAACAAAATCAAGACTTGAATATTGCATATTGTGTGCTTTAGATATACAGGTAGGTGTATCTGGGAACACAGAAATGAAGTGAGACTTGTCCTTACACAACAGAAGAATGGAGGTGCTGAATTGGAGATAAGAATAATGTGATAAAATTTTTTATATATATATATATATATATATATATATATATATATATATATATCTGCATACAGAAGTAAAATAATTCACACACAAGGAGCCCCTTGTGACACACACCACCATTTAATATCTGTTGGAGGCAGTGCTATTTTTCTAGAAAAAGCGGTGCTGGAGCTCACCATGAATTTCTACCTTGTTCTCTTAGAATGGCACCAACCTGAGAGGTGCCCACCTTAGAGCTGAGCTCCAGTGAGCCCTGGCAGAATAAAAGCCCTGGTTGGAAGAACTCTTTCATGAGTATAAATCGTCCCAGGGATGAGCTACGCAAACAGATGCATGGTCAAGTACCAACTAACCGATTAAGGTATGCCAGTTTGTTAGTCTGTCGTCTTGTCTGGAGTCAGTGAGTGAGTCCACCTCTTGAGAGTATGTGTTACGTTTTGAATTGCTGGGGCAAGAGAGATATTTTGTACTTGTATATATCTGTATCCGCAAAAGTCTCCAAGCTGTATGTACATGTCTATGCCTGGAAAAATTTTATTGAAGCCTTATCTTCTGCAGCAGTAAACTATTTGGGACCTTATTCTGCCTCCATGTGGTGAATGGAACTGGGGACAACTTCCACTGCATGGGTATCTCATCTGATATACTTTTCCAGCTGACAAAATAAGCATATACAATATCGTGTTTTTATTATACACTGATGGAAAGATCCTGTCATCGCATCATGATTCTCTTGACCTTTCCAGCCATTAGCAAACATGCAGCACACTCATAGATGGAGGTATTTTTATTGCTGTGGGCTGCAGATTACAGAGTCAAAACACTGCAGATTTGACACATGCATACAACACACATATCCATGAAAATGCTGAGGCAGTAGAAGGGAAATCAATACGAAACTTGAAGGCTGCTTAAAACTCAGGAAGCAAAACCGTTTGTTTAACTTTCCAAAACTGAATGCAAAAAAGAAAGGAGAAAATAATCACCCTTCCAACATGACACTGTTTTCTTCCTTTTCTTTTTTTATACACTTGATGAATGAGAGGGCAAAAAATGGATCTGTCCCCTTTGCCTTGGAGTGCAAGAAGACAACTTGGAGCCCTGAGCAATCTTTTGCGTAGGCCCCAAATACAGCACGTGATATATCTGCCATGAGGAGCTCAACTTTGTGTGAAATGTTCAGATTGTACAAACAAGCTAAGGGAGAAATCCTATGCACAAGAAGCTGGTGCAAAGCAATCTGGTTTAAATTAAGCTGGCATAAGTTACACCAGATCCAAACCCCGTTCAGTAGCAGGGCTGCTGCTGCTTTGCCCAAGCCCAGCAGAGAGAACACAAGCCTTTAAAACAGGGGTTCCCCCTGTTTATCAAAAGCCAAGCCATGGACCCCATACTTTTGAAAACCCTGGGTGGGTTATGTGGATGCGCTGGGGTGTGCAAACCACCAAATTGGGAACCGCTGCTGTAAAATACTGTTCTACACCAAATTGCCACGTCATGTGACTGAGGTGAACAGGCTTAGGATCCAGCCTAATTCCCATCCCCCTCTGGTCCTGTGACACACATACACACACACCCGAACATCCCCTTTTAGGGACTTACACTAGCCTTGGCTTATGTGGCTGCGTCCTGGTTGTACCAGGATGAGCAAGTTTCACTGGCATATCGTCTGCTGAGCCGGGTTGGGGATTCAATGCCAGCCGAGCTCGGATGAGTCAGAGATCTGCTGCATCCCATGCTGCTCATCCCAGCAGGTCGATGACCTTCGACTACCTCCCTGCCTAACCCCACCACACAAGGTTGTCCCCAGAATGATCACAGGAGTGGGGAGAATGACATGAAACACTTCTGAGGTCCTTGGATGAAAGGAGGATGTGGATGCCATGACGCTCGGACAAAAGGTATGAGAGCCTGACATTTATCCATCACAGATCTATCACCACAAATAAAAGCAGCCCTATGAGTAAGGCAATCAAGTGTGTGAATCCACCTACATGCTTATCGTTCTTATCAGCTTCCTGTTTCTACAGAAGCTGAGGTCTGCATAAAGGAATAATGCAACTACCTCTCTCGTATCTTGGGCTCTTTGAGTGGCAGATGCCTTTGAAAAATGAGTAAAAGACCTGAAAATTAAGAGCCATAATAGGACCAACAAAGACCACAGTAGAGCCAAAAGTGTGAAGGAGTACTGCAGAGCTTCATGGCAGGACCTTTGGTAGAAGATTAAGAGATATTTTAATCCACCTAGTCTAGCCCCCAAGAAAGTAAAATCTCTCACTGCCTCCATTTCTTCCCCTTCTATTTGCCAGGAGGTGATGGGACCAGTGGCCATGATCTTCGTTTTTTTTGATGTTGAGCTTCAGACCATATTTTGCGCTCGTGATGTATGGAAGTGAAAGCTGGACCATAAAGAAGGCTGATCGCCGAAGAATTGATGCTTTTGAATTATGGTGCTGGAGGAGACTCTTGAGAGTCCCATGGACTGCAAGAAGACCAAACCTATCCATTCTGAAGGAAATCAGCCCTGAGTGCTCACTGGAAGGACAGATCGTGAAGCTGAGGCTACAATACTCTGGCCACCTCATGAGAAGAGAAGACTCCCTGGAAAAACCCCTGATGTTGGGAAAGATGGAGGGCACAAGGAGAAGGGGACGACAGAGGACGAGATGGTTGGATAGTGTTCTCGAAGCTACCAGCATGAGTTTGACCAAACTGCGGGAGGCAGTTGTTCTAAAAAGGACAGCCCCCTTCTATCTTCAGTAGGGAAGGGATAAAAGCAAATCTTCAGCTGGATATTCATTTTCTCACCTTCTGGCAAAACCGGGGACGGTGTACATTTTTTCTCCTCTGTTTTTAAAAAACGTAAACCCTTTTGCCAAAGCCTTGCAATTTCTATATATACAACCATAGTAAATCTCAACATAGGAGGGTTTTTTTAGGTGCACTGCTGTTCATTTAAAAGCAACCCTGAACTCAGGAAGATAAAAATTGGGTGTCAAGGAAATAGATTTCTATTTATTTATGGCTGAAAATACCCAAGACCTTCCCCCTGCTTGCTGCACTCTACCCGCCTCTCTATTTAGCATGAGCACAAAGATGTTCAAGACTAACCTTTTCCAGGAACGATGCGCACTGCCTCTGTAAGAACCATTCTTATCCTCAACAAGAGAGCTAGTCATTTCGCTTTCTTTCTTCCTGCACTAAGAGCTGGCATATTCTCCAAGTGAAGCTATGTACCAACAAAAAGCACTTCAGCTTTTTGGCATCGTTAACCTCAAAAGAATTGTAAAAGTAGTTATTACTTCAAGTATCCAGTTTCCGCGAGCACTGCTGGCTGCAAGAGCCTCCGCTCAAAGGAAAGCAACACAGTACAACTGGATGAATGTCTAAAACCAGAGATAGAAAAAGAAATTCTCTTCTCTTTTTTGGGGCACAATAGGTCAGTGTGTCTGGCTGTTAACCAGAAGGTTGGTGGTTCAAACCCACCCAGGGACGGCTGTGGACAGGATTGTGGCTGTGGACAGGATTGCATTGCAGGGGTTGTGCTAGATGATCATCAGGAGTCCCTTCCAACTCTACAGCTCTGTGATTCTATACCTGGATGGCTTAAAAATGCAATTCTATACCTGGTTGGCTTAAAAATGCAATTCTCTACCTGGATGGCTTAAAAATGCAAGAAGGTTTTTTACACGCACCAGACGCTCGGCTCTGCCCTCGCCAGTCCTGGAAGGAGCCTTTAAAAAAGTCCCATATGCTCAGAGACTTTGTGCCTGTTCATTGGGAGAGATAGGAAGCCCAGAACACTTGTTCTTTAGATGTCCCTTTTATGAAGAGGCACGTAGTAAGACCATTGATCCCCTACTGGTGAGGCTCGCTGACCTCCAGGAAAAGCAAAAATTTGACCTTTTCCTGTTAGGCAAAGATCAGAAGACAACCCGGATGGTCGCCAGATTCTGTGTACAGATCTGTAGGCGCAGACCATCTCCCAACTCAAACTAGTTCTTCAAGAAAAGCCCCAAACTTGGTTCCATGGGTGACTCTGGGTCAACTCCCTGTGGAAGTTTATTGTTGTACATTGTTTTAATTGTTTGTTTTCCTTCTGTGACTGTACCCCCAAGTGTGTTTTATAAGCTGGTCTCCAACCATAATAAATTATCTATCCATCTACCTAGCTGGATGGCCAGTGGCTGTCCTCAGCAGGATGGGCTCTGCTTTCCGAGGACGCTGGAAATATGTCTCAGCATCTATAGCCGTTCCTGGCTCCAGGCTGCCCAACACCTCGGTTTAATCCCTTGTACAGGTCACCAACTTTTGGGGGCCCGTGGCCACATTTGCAACCTGGAGAATTTGTGACAGGCACCACACACAAACACACAGGAATCAAGCCCACACTGCAACCTATTCTAGTGGCTACAACAGAATGTTTCTTCTTCAACAGGTGAGGGAACTCTGTGGGTGCTACAGAAAGCTTCTGGGGCAAATGTGAGCGTACAGGTGCTGTGTTGCCAATCCCTGCTCTTGGCTTTGTCTTCTGGCTTGACCCTCCATGCCCTCGTCAGATTTTCACCTGGCACACTTCCTAACTCCCACTGAATCGCTTCCCGGAGCTCAAGTCCTGACAGTGGACTTCAAAATGGGCTTATTCTGGGACCAGAATAAGGTCCCCACTAAAGAAGAATGGCAACTTAAACTGCACAGCTTGTGGATCTGACATACAGAATAAGAGAACAAGAAGAACATATGTTTAAAGAAGATTGGAAAATGTTTATTGAGTATATGGGGGGCATTGTGTACACTTGAATTTATCTTAATGCTGCCAACGTAAATACGTTTTGATGGATGTAATAATGGAATACTGAATGGTTTAGTTTATGTAAAATATGCAGGGATTTATGTTTGGAAACAGAAGAACGGAAGTGACTGATATTTCAAGGTTGTTTAAATGAATATTCTAAAATGTAAAACAGAATATTTAATAAAAAATTATAGAAGAAAACAAAACAAAATGGGCTAATTCTGCCCATAACAAATTATCAAGAAACAACATTTCTCTGCAAGTGTGCTGGGGGTGCAGGGCTGTTATATCAATTCACCTTCTGCAGAACTCTCTTCTACAAGGGCAAAATCACAGCAATATTCCAATGTGTTCAAAATGCATTGTTGGTTTTTTTATTTTAAAAATCTGCTTCCTTGCCCCAATTCCTTTCCTCTCCCCCTGCTTCAGCAAGTGAATCAAATATTGTGGGCGAGGCAATGATGTCAGAAGCAGCACTCGTCCCCTTTGAAATCAGATGTGGTCAGTCAGCATGAAGAGGCAAAGTGAGGTCAGATAAGAGCTGAATAGAAGCACTGCTTCCTGCTTCTTGCCACAGAATGCCTTCATTATCACAAACCGAATCTCTGGTGACAGAGTCGCTTCAACAGAATAGGTGAATTGGCACGACCTTACGATATGAGGCCTGACAACTTTCTCACGTCAACTTTTTTCCGAATGTAGGCAAAAAAATATCTATTTTAAGACTGGCCTCTTCTAACGCTTGCTCAGGTGTGCTTGATTTCACATTTTTAAAAACTGTATAGACTGTTAACATAATTCCCTATATTCTTAGTCCTGCCCATTGCAGCCCAGCTCATCCAAGTGAGGAAGCTTCTCTCTACTGAGGGCCACATTCCACCAGAGGTAATATACTAGGGGCCGTAGGCTAGCCAGTGGGCAACACTGAAGTAAACTGGGTAGGACCAAAACCCAAAGTGATTGGAGTGACCCCCTTTCTCTGTCTTTCTGCCACCCCCTTTTCCCTCGTTCTTTCTGCCACGTTGAGTTTAAATTCAATGAAACTGGTGACTCTGAATGAGTTCCAAAAATGCCAATGGAGTCAACAGCACAGTTTGAACCCAAATAATGTTGATTATAGTGGTTAAATATTGTATTGTAATAAGATATTTATCATTTCCTGTAGGGAGGGTAATGTTACCTCGTTATTTGTTATATTTTCAGCATATTAATTTTTTTTAAAAAATGCTAGGCACTCTGAAGTGTGTTAGGCACACTGAGAGCCTTAGCAGTGTTGAACTTTCTTTGTTATCTATGTTATATTTAGTGACTGGAACATGTATCTTTTGGAAAAAAAATAAGAATTCAGTGTGTGCAATTTCCTCTTAGAAGTCTCATCCATCAGCCACTTTCCTCACCTGTTTAGCCCGTTCTCCCAGTTGTACAAGTGCCTCCATTAGCTTATAAATGTCACTGTCAATCAAACTTACAACAGAGGGCAACCAGTTTATAAAACTGCTGTTCTGGATTCCCAGTGCTTCAGCTGTGTGTTCTTCAGTGGTTTCTTTTACCTATCATAGCATTCATTCTTTAGCACAGGTCTGGGTGAAAACACAGTGATCATGAACAAACCAGGTAAAAAATTAATGGTTCTGAATCTTGTGTCCATTTAAAAGCAATGACCAAGGGTCGCTTGAAAGCATGTTAACTTTTGATACAGTTTGCTTGCTTAAATCACCTTGTAGGACACTCTTACTCATCACAAGTGATCAGGAAACTGGTTATTTACTACCTGCATGGCTAAGAATTGACATTACTCCAGTCTCCTACCTAAATATCAGGCACTGGTTCATTATTTTCAATAGAACTCTTCCACAAGTGCCCAGATGCAGCTGTTTATAGATGCCAAAAGCCTAGCCAATACAATGTATATAAAATTATACAAAAGCCCAGCTGGGGATTTTTTTAAATAAAAAAAATCCCCCACGGGCTTTTGTTTTGGTGTTCCTACAGAAAATCACATTCAACAGTGATTAAGCAAGAGAGAAATCCTATCAAAAAGTGATGCCTCTCACAATGATGAGTAATGCAGTAATGTATGAGACGAGAGCGGCTTGTGAACACCCAAGTCAGATTCTGTTTTGAAAAACAAGTGTGCAAAAATAAAATATATCTTTGCTGAGTTTGCAAGTCTACCCCCACACTTTTTAATAAAAAGGTACCCCTTCCCTTCAAGCTGATGTCATCTGAAACCAGCTGAGACTTTCACGTCAAGCTACAATATGAACTGCAGAAAATAATAATAACAATAATCTCTTGGTACTGGTCCAAATATAGCCCTAAGTGGTGAAGAAGAAGAAGAAGAAGAAGAAGAAGAAGAAGAAGAAGAAGAAGAAGAAGAATTTATTATTTATACCTTGCCCATCTGGCTGGGTTTCCCCAGCCAATTCTGGGTGACTTTCAACAAAATATTAAAATACAATAGTCTATTAAACATTAAAAGCTTCCCTGAACAGAGCTGCCTTCAGATGTCTTCTATAAGTCTGGTAGTTGTTTTTCTCTTTGACATCTGGTGGGAGGGCGTTCCACAGCGCAGGCGCCACTACCGAGAAGGCCCTCTGCCTGGTTCCCTATAACCTCACTTCTCACAGTGAGGGAACCGCCAGAAGGCCCTCAGCACTGGACCTCAGTGTCTGGGCAGAACGATGGGGATGGAGACGCTCCTTCAGGCATACTGGACCGAGGCCATTTAGGACTTTAAAAGTCAACACCAACACTTTGAATTGTGCTCGGGAACGTACTGGGAGCCAGTGTAGGTCTTTCAAGACCGGTGTTATGTGGTCTCGGCGACCACTCCCAGTCACCAGTCTAGCTGCCGCATTCTGGATTAGTTGTAGTTTCCGGGTCACCTTCAAAGGTAGCCCCACGTAGAGCGCATTGCAGTAATCCAAGCGAGCGATAACCAGAGCATGCACCACTCTGGTGAGACAGTCTGCGGGCAGGTAGGGTCTCAGCCTGAGTACCAGATGGAGTTGGTAGACAGCTGTCCTGGACACAGAATTGACCTGCGCCTCCACGGACAGCTGTGAGTCCAAAATGCCTCCCAGGCTGCACACCTGGTCCTTCAGGGGCACAGTTACCCCATTCAGGACCAGGGAGTCCTCCACACCTGCCCGTCTCCTGTCCCCCCAAAACAGTACTTCTGCCTTGTCAGGATTCAATTTCAATCTGTTAGCTGCCATCTGTCCTCCAACCGCTGAGAGCTGGAGGATGGCAGAAGAGTCTGAATCAATTTGCTAATTCCACATTTTCTGTATGCAATTTCTGATGGGACTTCAGAAATTGCGCGCTGTGGCTACCTCTGAACACAGGGCCGTTTTGACTGTATGTATCTGGGCAGGGGGCTTATGGGGCTTTACCTTTAGTTAAGATTCATCTTGGAAACCCAAGGAAGTGACATGGCACTTGGCTGACAGTTTCTGAAATAGCTCCTTATTTATAGAAGTGCAATGTGCCACTCCCGCAAAGTGTGTAACAATGGTTGCAGGACGGAGACAGCACCAGTGGGGAGGAGGAAAAGAAGATGAGAAGAGAAGGTGCAGGAGGTTAATGTGAGGGTGGTCTGCATGCAAGAGGGAGTGCAGAAATGGGGTGGGGAGAAGAAGGAATGGATACGAAGGTGAAAACAGAGGTGAAAAACAGAATAGCAGAGGTGCAGAGGTGATTATTGACTGAGCAGACAATTCAGAAAATAAAGTGGAAGGTGTTGGGCAGAGGGTTCACAAGCAGAGTGAACATGTGTAAATATGCATATTTGTTAGAAAATAAATATGCAAAGCACAAAAAAATCACAAATGTACAATGCGGATGTATACAATTAAGCATACTATGTAATGTTCTTAATTAATAAAAAATTATAATCAGTGGGCATTCTACCTACTTAATTTGCATTTACATGACTTTATTTTGTTTTGTTTGTCATTAATATTGATTGCACAATCTCTGATTGGCAAGGCTTCTGCTTCAAGGGGGGCAGCACCTGACAGAGGCTGAGCAGCCGAACAAGCTGACAGCTACTATCAGTATCTCCAGGAAAGCTTCATTACTAAGGAGACGAATGACTGAATACAATTTCGAATACATACAGCCAGTAGATTCAATAATGAAATTTGGGACCTATCTACCTATCTGCATATATATCTCACAAAATAAAATTCCATGTGCAAAAATAGATGATAGATAGATACACACAGAGACATAATTTTATTTTGCAGTCAAATTAAAAATGCAAAAAGGAAGAACACTGTTTAATAACATAGGTAAATGGTAAAGGTAAAGGACCCCTGGGTAGTTAAGTCCAGTGAAAGGCAACTATGGGGTGCAGCGCTCATCTTGCTTTTAGGCTGAGGGAGCCGGCGTTTGTCCACAGATAGCTTTCTGAGACATGTGGTCAACATGACTAAACCACTTCTGGCGCAACAGAAGACCGTGAAGGAAACCAGAGCACATGGAAATGCCGTTTACCTTCCTGCCACAGTGGTACCTATTTATCTACTTACACTGGTGTGCTCACCCCGACGTGCGGATTCAACTGCTGACCTTCCAATCGTCCCCATGTTTCATAACATACCACTTTTAAGGGGGGGGGACTAAGCAGAAGCTCACAAACTATTGAGTGTTTCTGGAGGCATAACTTATGCAGCCAAATCATAGTCAGAAAACACACACACACCTGCATTTAATTGGGATGTGATCAGAGGCCTGCAAAAGTTTCCACATGTTAAAGAATAAACCATTCCAAAGACTTGATGCCGTACAAGACAACAGAGGTGGTTCCTCATGAAAAATGTGTTCTTAAAATTAAGAGGGGGTGCCTTTTGATGTTTTTTATTCATTCTAGTCACACTTCCAAGTGTAGATAGAACAGGTTTTTATTAGATGGAGATCCTTGGCAGACTGCATGTAATGATAGACTCTAAGCTGAGCTGTACATGGTTTCAACAGAAGCTTAGGGAGTCCTTAATCTGAGAGGGACTGGACTTGCTAGACCTTGAATGACCCGGCACGACTCCTTAGGTCCTTGTGGTGCACTATGTCAGCACTCACTTAGGAAGACTCTAAAGCTGGGGACAGAGCCAGCTGCCTCTCAGCAAGATGAGAAATAGCCACTTGGATATTTCCACATGTAGGAGAAATCAGAAGTCTCTCCCAGCAGAAATGTCCTATGCAGCAATTGCCTTACTTACTGTCTTCCACAGGTAATTCAGAGATCAAGCAGTACCACACTCTTTGTCTCTTTAAGCACAAACCCACCCCTCTAATTTCCAAGTGATTGGGTTAGATAGATTTGAGTTGAGTGTGGCATTGATCTATTTCAAGGACCAGCTATTGGAATGCCCTGGCATTCAGAAAGAAGTTAGGTGGCAACCTTAATATTGCACTGTTAAAACATTTGATCGGCAGGTCCCCCCCCCCCCCAAAAGAAAAAATTGATCCAGAAGCCCCTTCCCTTGTATTGGGATAATATTTAGTTGTTCTTTTCTGCACATCGTAAATTATGCTCTCCTTGCCTGACCTTCATGCATTGGTTGGAATACACACATTGTAGAGAATGTACAAAGGAGGAAATTGCCAGTCTACCTGAGGTGACTGACAAGATGCCCCCTGCCCACATATAGAAGCAACCATACTGGGAGCTGGCTCTTATTTCAACACAAGTAATAGGGCAGCCCTCTACTGTGTTTGAGGGCAGCAGGCCAGCTGGAAGGAAGAGCCCAGGGCAGGCTTTGTGGCACACAGAGCTCTATCCTCCAACCCCTTGCAACTGCTCCCTGTCGCCCAACAAAGCAGCCACCTCATTTGCCTAACTGCCCAAGAGGGGCAAATTTACCCCTCCTCTCAGCAAGGAGAGGAAGAGGAAGAGGAAGAGAAAAACATATCCCAGACATATCCCAGACTGGCTCCATATACAGTGGTACCTTGGATTACAGACGCTTCAGGTTACAGACTCCGCTAACCCAGAAATAGTACCTCGGATTAAGAACTTTGCTTCAGGATGAGAACAGAAATCGCATGGCAGCAGCGAGAGGCCCCATTAGCTAAAGTGGTACCTCAGGTTAAGAACGGTTTCAGGTTAAGAATGGACCTCCAGAACGAATTAAGTTCTTAACCCGAGGTACCACTGTAATCTATGGCATGGGTAGGCAAACTAAGGCCCGGGGGCCGGATCCGGCCCAATCACCTTCTAAATCCGGCCCGCGGACAGTCCAGGAATCAGCGTGTTTTTACATGAGTAGAATGTGTGCTTTTATTTAAAATGCATCTCTGGGTTATTTGTGGGGCATAGGGATTTGTTCATTTATTTTTTATTTTTCCAAAATATAGTCCGATCCCCCCACAAGGTCTGAGAGACAGTGGACCAGCCCCCTGCTGAAAACGTTTGCTGACCCCTGATCTATGGCTCTGGTTGCAAGGCTCCCTCCGCTGCTTCCAAAGTGTTCTTGGTTTGAGATGCAAGAAATATTGAAATTCAGGTCACATTTAAAGTTGAACCTATCAAATTCACACTTTCTGGAGGGAAAGACATGAATCGAAACACAGCACTCCATGATTCTAACCACTATGAATTTTGCAGTGCAGTTCTCCAGTCAAGTATTGCCTACAAAAAAGGTAAAGGTAAAGGTAAAGGGACCCCTGACCATTCGGTCCAGTCATGGACGACTCTGGAGTTGCGGCGCTCATCTCGCTTTATTGGCTGAGGGAGCCGGCATACAGCTTCCGGGTCATGTGGCCAGCATGACTAAGCCGCTTCTGGCGAACCAGAGCAGCGCATGGAAATGCCGTTTACCTTCCCACCGGAGCGGTATCTATTTATCTACTTGCACTTTGACGTGCTTTCAAACTGCTAGGTGGGCAGGACCTGGGACTGAGCAATGGGAGCTCATTCCATCGCGGGTATTCGAACTGCCGACCTTCTGTTCGGCAAGCCCTAGGCTCTGTGGTTTAGACCACAGCGCCACCCGCGTCCCAGTTCTCCAGTCAAGTATTGTCTGCAAAAATGCATACGCTGGGGTAAATCGTGCATTAGAATGCGTATATTATTGACTTGTATATATTAGGATATATACTCATATATGACCATTCCCATGGTTCTCCCACCACTACCTGCCGCATCACAGAGTTTCAGAAACCCGCCGCCACCACCACCGAGTCCTCATGGGGCCTCAACTTGTACATCCTTATTTTACTGTGTTAACAGCAAATTAAATTCAGATGAAATATATAAGTGCCCATGCAGCACAGTTTATAAATAGACTTCAAGTCAGCTAATGTCACTGCCAGATTAAAAGGAAAGGACACTTTGGCAGTTCTATTACATTATTTTGTGTTGTGCTTACGAGAAGCAGTAATTAAAGTCTCTGTTCAGGCTTACGGGGGTAGAAAGAGTTTTGCACCTGCAAGTTGCTTACTGAGGCAAGAGATCTCAAGCTCCTTTCCAGGTCATGCTTTCAAATACAAATATTTTCCAGCAGAAAAGACCTACCTTGGCATTCGGTCATAAGCAACGTCGGATTCAACATTGTCTCATGATATACCACCCTACAAACAACAACCCCTTACCTAACTTCAAGCTCTGGATTTGTTAATCTGTGTTTCACCTCTTAAACTTGCAGACATATCAGAGGTCACAGCAAAGACCTACGTCCAAGACTGTGGAGCAAGGTGTGTGGCTGCTGTTACATGCTGACAGCTTCTAGGAGCCAAAGGTGAGAGCTGTGTGTCAGGTGAGGACCAAAGGTGGACAAACTACCCCAGAAAAGCATGATGTGTCCACCTCCAGAGGTACTACCTCTCCCCTAACACCCCATACACCCTGGCCGGCTAAGCCAGATGAGGGCAGCTGATGAGTCTCAAATCCTTGGTGAGTTAGGAACGTCCCCTACATGCAAAGACAGGCTCTGGCAGAATGAGCAGACAAGACCCATAGTGGGTCCAACAGTCAAGAAGGCAGTCTCTGCATGTGCTGTAGAGGACTTAAATGCAAGCAGCCTGGCTAGCGTTTCTCATGAGCTGAGAGTGCAACCTATAGCATTCCCCAGAAGGCTTTGCAATACACAGGTTATCAGTGGTCAGACAAGCCTGAGAACCATGTCTGGTAGAATGGGAGTCAGTAGCCAAACGATTTTCCTTAGCAACAGGCAACTCAGAACAGCAGCTGCAAGCCCAGATGTGTACGGTGCAGGCCAGGAAAATAATAATAATTTTAATAATAATAATAATAATAAAATTTATTATTATTATTATTATTATCATCTATCTGGTTATCCCAGCCCGCTCTGGGCGGCTTCCAACAGAACATTAAAATACAATAGTATATTAAATATTAAAAGCTTCCCTAAACAGGGCTGCCTTCAGATGTCTTCTAAAAGTCTGGTAGTTGTTCTTCTCTTTGACATCTGGTGGGAGGGTGTTCCACAGGGTGGGTGCCACTACCGAGAAGGCCCTCTGCCTGGTTCCCTGTAACTTGGCTTCTCAC